TGTATCTCTGTGTTCAGTGTGTGTCTGTGATTAACAGTGTCTGTATCTCTGTGTTTCAGAGTGGCAGTGGCTGTGCAGTGCTGCAGGTAGGTCTTTCTCCTTCTGAAGATAAAGGCACAGTAAATGATCTGCCATCAAAGACTCTTGTTCCTGGTGTCGTGTCAGTGTTCCTGGCCCAGGCCCAGGGAGGTGCTCACCCCATCACCACAGTGTGTCAGTCAGGGGAAGACAAGGGCTGCCCCCTGTGAACATTGTCTTAAAACTACATCTCCCAGAATACACTGTACTCTCTGAACCAGTTGTTCCCAGTCCTGGTCCTGGTGACCCACACGCCTGTTGGTTTTTGTTCCAGCCGAGCCCGTAGTCAAACCCTGAATTGGCTGAAGAAAAATGTGATTACTGTGAACTGTTTCTGCCCAGCTCTTCAACACGTCAGGGCTTTAATTGTTGTATTTTCTAAGTGAGATAAAATTCCAAACTTGCGATATCCTGGTATCCGTTAGGTATCACAAGAGCCAGTGGTTTGGCTGGGAGGGACTCTTTCGTTGCGCAAATCTGGCCACATCATCCACTTGCACTGGTTGAAAAAGGACAATCACCTCTTTCAGAAAGCTTTTATTTTGATGGTTGTTTCATAATGTGTTAGCACCTGTACAGATTGTGAGAATGTTTAGTGTTTTGAGATGCCTTTCTTTGAAATAGAGTTTATTTATTTATTTGAGAATGTCACTCCATCTCCCTGTGTGGGAAAGCCCTGCAGGACTGTCCATGGGCAGTGACTCACCTGGGTCTGGGAGAGCTGCAGAGGCCATGGGCTTAGTATGAGGGATCCAGGTAAGAGCTGCGTCAAGTGCAAGTTCTCAGAGTGAAGAACTACAGTCAGTTCTCGGTTTGTGAATAGCCCATTTTATTTGAGATCATATAATTTCCCTGGTTTCATAAACAGTTTCCCGGGCAGAACAGTCAGGGCCAGGGAGGGATTGTCATAAAGCTGGGCTGTTTTCTCCTTGAAAGTGTGAAATACTGAAATACAGGATGGACAGTCCTGCCTGCATCTGCTCACATCTGAAGAAGTTTTAAATGTTTATCACGTTCATTTAAAAATAGAGTGTAGTAGATCCTACAGGGGAGGCATGGTGGGGCAGTGGTTATCACTGCTGCCTCGCAGCGCTGGGACCCTGGGTTCAATTCCTAGGGTACCATCTGTGTGGAGTTTGCATGCTCTCCCCTGTTCATGTGAGTTTCGTCCCCGTGCTCTGGTTTCCTCCCACAGTCCACATGCTGGGAGGTAAATGGGAAAATTGGCCCTGCAGTGAGTGGTAAATTACCCAGAATGCTATGTGAACGCTGTGTGGAGCGGACCCTGAGGTGAGACACCTTCGTCCACTGGGAAGCGTCTTCTTTGGGTGCAGTGCTGTGTCAGTGCAAATGTGTGCACATCAGTGTTGTCTTTCCACAGATTGTGCCCCCACAAACAACGTCTTCACAGCGCGCTTCATCAGGCTCACTCATTCACTGTCTTACTGCCGACACAAGTGTGCTTTGAACACTTTTAAGGAAGTAGCATGGCAGCACGTTGAAAGTACTGTAGCTATTTACCGTGTATCAGGAATGTGATGTATACAGGACAGATACTGTGGCCCTTCTCATCTGTCCGCAATTGCATGACCTGCTGGCCAGAGCCGATATCTTACCTATGCTGGTCAGTGTCCAGTGTCCACTAGCGTCCTACGGCTCAGTGCTGACTCTCTCCTGTCGTCCTTACAGATGAAGAGAGGCCCATTCCAGAACTGCGTAAGTACACCGTGCAGGGAAGCACAACTTCTGACGGCTGACAGGGACGATCGTATCACCAGTCACCAGCTCTCTGTTGTGAACCGCATTCCTACGAGCACTCCTCGCCGCCACCACCCGCGCACTAATGAATCAGTTGTCATTCCTCACGCTCTTCCCTATTTATACCCTCTCACTCCGCTCAGTCCCCGCTCACTATTGAGAATAACCCTTGGCTTTCTCTTCTGCGTGTAAGCTCCACTCGACTTGATTTCTGGCCCCCCAACCTTGTTTTCCTCCTGCTTCGCCTTCGTATCGTCTCTCGTTTTGGATTCGGATGCTCTCGACCTGACTCTTGGGATACCCGACCTAGCTCTCCTCCCTCGACTACGACGTTTGCCTTTTGCCTTTGGGATTTGGACGACCATCAGTAGCTACCTACAGTCTCAGTGCCGCATAGGGTCCCACCAGGTGCTCCTGACGCCATCCCTGACACTCTTCTATATCCCATCTCCTGTCACCAGCTTCCAGACCATCCGTGTCTCCAGCTGCTTGAGCTTGTCCCTCTGTCCTGGGTTTCAGGACTATTTCACTGGACACAAGATCTACACATGCAGCTGAAGGCCTTGTGAGACTCTTCTCCCCTCTTGTCTAATCTTCTTCTGGTTTACTGGCCAATTTAGACTCTGATTTTCATTCTGCTGGAACGGTGATGGTAGATTTCTGTACTGCAGGCATGAGCTTTCACAGTCTGCACAGATAACCGGATTGGTGTAATTAGTCTTTGAATGGCTATCTACTACAGACAGTACTGACCGCCAGACCCGTCAGCACTGACTGTACTGACATCGTACGTCATACGGCGTGGAGTCCAGTGTGTGTCTGTGACTATTAGTGTCTGTATCTCCGTG